ACCCCGGCCCCAGCGCCCCCACCACCCCGAGTGTCTGCAGCCTGGGGGACCCTAGGGACCTGCTCCTAGAGATTAACGCAGCGGGCCCGCCGGGGAGGCGAGGGGAGAAGGGACTGGGGGCCGGCGGTGCAGCTGATGCCCAGTGGTCCCAGCTGGACCTTGTCCCACAGAGACCATACTCATCCTCGTGTTGGTCCCAGCGGCTGCTTGGGGGAGGCCAGTTCGGTAGCCGTGTCCCCACTTCAGAGGTGAGCGGCGAGGCCCAGGAGGCCCGGAGGCTGCGGGAGGCTGCCTGGCGGATGAGAGCTGGGCCTGGAGCTGGTGGCAGCCAGGGTGCAGGAAGCTGGGCCCCTGGGGGAGCCCGACCGGGCCCTCTGAGGGCGGCGGGCAGAGTGCATCACCCCCATTTCACAGATGAGGACACTGAGGCTGGGTCTGCGGCACTCGCACCAGCACCTCCTCTGGAGCCCGTGGGGGGTGGGGAGGGTGGAACGGAGATGAATCAGAGTCACCCAGGTGTGGGCAGAGAGGTGCAGGCTGGGCCGGGCAAGGGGAGCTCCCTGGGCCTGGGTGCTTCGGGGGGCACTGGGAGCCGGGCAGTGCCCTCCAGGCAGAGGGGGCCGCCAGGGCCAGCATCCGGGGAGGGGTGCCTGGCCTGTCAGGGCTGGGGTGGGGATTGGCAGAGACTAAGCCTGGCAGATGGCAGGACCAAGGGTGCCCTCCCACCTGGCCACAGGCTGCCGGGTCCCCCTCACCTCCACCCGTTTCCTGCGCCTCAAATTCCCCAGGAGGAAGTGTAAGTGCTGCTCCGGCCCTGAAGTGGCCACTGGGCAGGCGTTAGGCAGGCGTTGGTCAGGCCCTGGGGACAGATTCCTCTCCTCTCCATCCTCTTCCTGGGCCCCACGGGGCAGTGATCCCAGGGGCTCTGCTTACAGCCAGCCTGGCACCTGACGGGCTCGGTCCCCTGCACTCTCCTCCCGTTTCCACAGGGATGGCAGGTGCTGCCCACCCCGTCTGAGCCCACAGAACAGCATGTCACTGCAGCTGGGACGCCACCTCCTCTAGGCAGCCCTCTCGCCGTGCCCACCCCTGCTGCCCCCCAGTCCTGTGCTGGCCCTTCTTGTGGGCAGCCTCACTCACTCAATCCCCCAGCAGTCCCTGGGGTGAAGGGTCCTTATCAGCCTCCGTTTGCAAAGCAGAGTGGGAGCTGTCGGCAGCCTCCCACAGCCTGTGCCCAGGTGCCCCCCGCAGCCTGTGCCCTGCAGCCTCCTCTCCCCAGGGCGGCATGCGTGCTGCGGACAGGAGCAGTAGGGAGCCACGGCAGGTTCCTGAGCAGAGGAGGACGTGCAGGGCTTTTGCCTTAGGAACAGGGGCCTCATGGATCTTCCTGCATGACTGAGCAGGGAGGGGGTGCCCTCTGTCTCAGGGGGCTGGCGGCCAGAGCTCCTGCAGCTGCCCCCGTCCTGCAGGCCTGGACCTTCTGGAGGCAGCCAGGGTCTCGGCTCGCTGGACCCAGGGTCCCCAGGAGGCCTCCCCACTGCTGTGGGCAGAGGGACGGAACAGAGGGAGAGGGAGGTGCCCGCCATGCCGGAGCCAGGACACACCACCCCCGGCGCCTGGACGCTATGGGCCACCACCAGCCCCGCCTTGCCCGCCCCCGCTGGGCTCCGTAGGCTTGGAGCACGGCCTCTCCTTCCTTCTCCGTCCTCCGCTCCCCCCTACATCCCCTCCCACCCCGCATTGTGAGGTGGGAGAGGGTGGAGACTGGTTAGGAAGCCTGGCCTGGGGACCGGCGATGAGCACCATCATCTGAGAGCTTTTGGGCAAAAGAACCCAGTGAGGGAGGAGCAGCCAAGTAGTGAACCCCTGTTCAGGGCTGGGCTGGGCTCCAGAGCCCCCCAACAACCCTGGGGCTGGTGGCCTTGCCCCTGGCGGGGGTGTGTGTGTGTGCACAGCCTCACACCTGCCGGGCCTGGTGCCAGGTGTGCTGACCTGGAGGGAAGGACGAGGTGAGGGAGGGCAGGTGAGCTGGGGAGGAAGATCTGATGCCTCGGCCACCACTCCCAGGGCTGGGGTTCACCCAAGTGAGGGGCTCCCTGGGGAATTGTTGGAGGGGACCCTGGGAGGCTGCAGGGGGGTGGCCTCGGTGAGAAGGGGACACAGAAGAGCTAGGACGTGGGTCCTGGGCTCTGGGCGGGAGTCGTGGCTGGTGTGGGTGCCTCAGGGCTGAGTTTGGAGACTGGGAGGCAGCAGGGACGAGCTGCAGAGGCAGGGGGGGCAGCGGGGCCCTCCTGTGGGTGCGCATGGGGCTGCGGGTGGTGAGCAGCGAAGGGGGACCCGGAGGAGGAGGAAGATGGAGGGTGGGTGCTGCAGGAGGCAGGCCCTATCCCCATCAGGCAGTTCCGTCAGGGGGTCTGTCTCGGGGTCCTTGGGGCGCCACTCCCCTGTGCCCAGGACCTCTGGGTCAGTGTTACCCGTTCGCTGTGACCCCGACCGTCAGAGTTGAAGCTGCTCAACCTCATATCCTCGTACAGGAGTGGCCCTGGGACCCCCCCCCTCCCTGCAAATCCCTCCTGCCACAGCCCCGCCCGCCAGGGTCTCCCCGCCAGCACCCTCACCCCTCACCCACTCCCAGTGAGTCCCTGGTCCCGAGGCCACCGGCCGTGGTTCTGCCAGGCACGTGCCAGCCCCTGATCACCTGTTGCCCCAACTCTGAGCTGGGCAGCGCCAGGGCCGGTGGGAGGGAACCTGAGCCCGACAGAGGCTCGTAAGGACCCCGACTCCGGCCCAGCTAAGCCTGGCTCTGTGCTCTCTGCCCAGCCCCCTCCACCCTGCCAGCACCTCACCCACCCATGCCGCAGAATTTGGGGGCCCTGTGGGGGAGCCTGCCCGCCCGGAGGGCCCTGGGAGGCTGGTGGGCGTGTGGCTGTGACCCGCCCCTGCAGGCCGCCCCCTCGTTGCGGTGCCTCCTCAGGAGCAGGTCCTCTGTGGGCCTGGGTGTCCTCTTCTGGGAATTGGCTGCTTTGAGGGTTAGGAGAGGCCCCTGTGCGGCCGGGGCTCAGTGGGGGGCATGCAGGAGGCAGCGATTAATGATTCTCTCTCATTATTGATGTTTCTCTCTCGTTCTCTCTCCCTCTCCCTTCCTCTCTGAAATCAATAAAAAATATTTTTAAAAAGTGGGCGGGGGCTGGACTCCTGGAGGAGCCGACCCCATGGGTGCATCAGCAGCAAAGAGCGGACCCTGCCAGGTCCCCACCCAGGTCGGGTCTCAGCCCCAGGCTCCCACCAGCCTCTTCCCCGGCCCAGGCCACCCCCGAACCAGCCCCCGGCTTTGGCTGATCTGATGGGTAGGGGAGTGGAGGGAAGCCAGCCGCTTGGAGACCAGGAGCGGTGGCCGGTCAGGCCAACTCGCACCCGTCCAGCCAGTGGCCCTTGTGGGGGCTGCACTGAGCCTCCCGGTGTGCAGAGGGTGATGGTGCCCCTTCCTGGACGCCAGCATCACTGGTGCTGGGCCGGCCGGGAGGAGCAGGGACCGTGAGCGCTCACCGCGGTCGGGAGCTGCTCGCCGGGTGAAGGGGTGGCCAGTCCTGGGTGCGGTCACCTCGGCGTGGCCGCCTGTCTCCGGGGAGGTGCATGTGCCTGGGCCACGTGTGCTGTGCTTCTCTCTGCACCGAGGGCCGGGCCGGGCCGGGCAGCAGTCACCTCGGCCTCGCCTGGGCTCCACGGGTCAGGGCATGTGCATGGCACGTCCCCCCTTCCCCCAGAGCCTCCTGCTTGCCTGTGCCTGCCTGGCCGGGGGTCCAGGCCCTCGTCCGTCCGTCCATCCGTCTCCGTGTTGACGTGTCCACCCGTCTGTCCCCAGGCTTCCTGTGGAGGATTTCAGCCTGGACTCGTCCCTGTCTCAGTAAGTGTCCTGCAGGGGAGGGGCCGCGGGGATAGGCAGGACCACCTGGCCGCAGACCCAGAGGAGGGCGCTCAGCCTGCACCCACCCGTGGGGTCTCTGCTCGTGCCCTGCCTTGCAGAGGGTGGGGCAGGGTGTGGCCGGCCAGCACCTCCTCACAGGGCTGCTGGGCCCAGGGGTGGGGCTGAGGCTGGGACTGCACACCTGCTCCAGACCTACCTGGGCCCTGGCCGTGGCCAGTGGGCAGCTGAGGCCTCCGATGTGCCCAGCCCTCCCCGCCAGGCCTCCTGCCAAAGAAAGGAGTGAGTGAGTGAGAATGGATACAGGAAGGATCCCTCTTGGCTTCTGCCCTTGCCCGTGGCTCCCCTGTTTGCAGGCACCTCCAAGTCCCGTTCCAGGATCACTGACCATGTGGATTTTGGGGCCCCGAATCCCAGGCCCCCGTCCAGTGCTTCCCCAGCTCCTGAGAGCAGCTTTCTCTGAGTGTGGCCACTAGTCGCCCCACGGGCCTCTGGGCCACCACAGGGTGGGGAGTGCCCTCTGCCCACAGCCCCTGGGGGCGTCAGCCACACGCGTGGTCTATGGCTCCGGGGCCGTCTTTTCTGGGCGATAGGTGTGGCTGGCGTCGGGACGCACAGGATGGAATCGGCCCTGATCGCAGGCACCATCTGAGCTGACGGGGGCTCTCCCTGTGTCGGCCGGGTTGGCTCAGCACTGACTGAATTGGGCTGAACTCTGCCCGTGGCCGTAACGTGCGAGTTGGTAATTTACTTTTTGTGGTGGTGCTGGAAGAAGAGGCGGCCGCAGCTCATGAAATATTGAAGGGGAAGAAGGAGGGTTTGTGAAGGTCACTGGCCCTGCAGCTCGACCTGCCGCCCGTCTGTGCCTGTGGCTTCTCCCTCCGCCCGCGTGGGCAGCGCCTCCCTCTGGGTGCATCCTGCCGCCGGGGCCTTGGGGTCGCCCAGGCGGTCCGCAGCCCAGGACAAGGGGCGGAGGGTCAGCCAGCACTCACCCTGCTGTGCTGGTGGTGCGGGGCCGGGGATCTGGGAGCAAACGCATTGGGGTATGGCTAGTCCTGGCAGCAGCCTGACCCCACAGGCCCGGCAGGGAACTCGCTGGGCAAGGGGTGCTGTGGGAGGCACATGCAGGGCGTGGGGCTGGGGTCCCCGGGAAGGGGCTGGGACGGTCCTGGCAGGAGGCAGGAGCGGCCAGTGCAGATTCCGGTCTTTGCCTTGGTTTCCCAGCTCTGGGCTCAGTGGGTGTGGAGGGGACAGGACCGGCTGGGTGGGGCGGTGGCTGGGAGGCCTGTGGGGGACACGAGGATTGGGGTTCCACCTCTAAGGCTGGGCTGTGGGGCGTGTGCCCCGTCCTCACTGACTGGCTGTCTGAGCTCTGACTTCAGAGAGGAGGGCGTTTGACCGGCTCCCCCGAGACCCTCAGGGCCTCCCTGACGGGCTCCAGGCGGCATCTACAGAGGGTGGGGTTCAGGGGTTCAGAGCTGGGAGGCAGGAAGGAGGGAGGTGCAGGGGGTGCACTGACCGCTGGCTCTGGGTTGGGGCCCCACTGGCCTATGGGAGACCTGTCCTGTCCTGTCCCAGCCCCAGGAGCCCAGAGTGTGGCCGGGGGACCGTCCTGCACCAGGACCTGAGGGGGAAGGGCCCCTGCCACCCCGTCCTCCCACCCGGAGCCCTGTGACCAGCAGTGGCCCCTGTGGCCCTCGGGCGGCGTGGCTCTGCTCCCGTGTGTGGCCGTAGCCTTGGCCGTGGCATGGGACTGGGTGCTGCCTCCCCTGCACGGCTGGTCCAACCACTACCCCCGAGGGAGGCGGCACCCGTCTCGTCCGGGGGTGATGCCCACGGCTGGCTTGTGGGTTCCTGGGCTCGTCCTGCCAATGGTGGCGACAGCCTGTGACAGAGGGTGCAAGAGTCACACGGGGGCGGCCAGTGCCAGCCCAGAGCAGGTGCCCACCCAGCACCCCGGGTGTTGGCCTCTCGGGGGCGTGTGCTCCCCACACCCTGGAGGGAAGCTCTGAGGCCTCCGTGCTGCCCGCCCCCAGCTCCAGGGCCCGCTCCGGCCATCCCGCCTGCTGTCTGTCACTCCTGTGGAGGGTCAAGCCCTCACCTGGCCAGCAGGGCCGGGCAGTGTCTCATCGCCTGCAGGATTCATGTTGTCAAGGAGAACAGATTTTTTGGGGGGGGGGCCCAGTGTGTCTGGGGATTGGCCGGGAGTGCAGGTGGGCCCACCTCCCCGACATTCTTGCTGGTGCAGCCACCAGGGACCACCAGCAAAGCAGCTGCCCATCGGCTTCTAGAACGTTCTGTATAGACGATGTGACATGTTTGGAGCCTGTGCCAAGGCCACACGGGGCACGTTTAATCCTGGTGGCCGGCTGTGACCACCGGGGCTGGGGCCCCGGAGAGGTGGCCTCCCGGGAGCCTGGGGAGCACCCAGGTGAGCCCTGAGGCTTCGGAAGGTCCTCAGGCAGGTCTGCTGGGGCCTGTGGGGGCCTTTCGTCCGAGATGGAGGCGTTGATCCCGCTGCAGTCCGTCCGTCCGTCTGTCCGTCTGTCTGTCTTCTGGGCTCCTCCAGGTGGGAGAAGCCGGTGCCGGGGCTATGGCTGGCCCCGGCTGAGCCCACGCCCGCTCCTGCCCGCAGGGTCCAGGTGGAGTTCTACGTCAACGAGAACACCTTCAAGGAGAGGCTCAAGCTGTTCTTCATCAAGAACCAGAGATCCAGTGAGTGGCCTGCGGGGGGCGGGGGCCCCGGGGAAGGGTCCAGCTGTGCAGGGGGCTGGGGGGCCTGGCGGTGTGGGTGGTGATGGGCACAGGGGCATGGGCAGTGCCCCATCTGGGCTTCACGCCACCTTCTACGCATC